GTCTACAGTCTTTTATGCTTTATGGCATTTTACGTGTATGTATTGAAAGATTTTAGAATAAGGTGGCCAGTTGTTTATTTTTCCCGTTCGTTTCCTACTCATTGTATTGTCAACATTTTGTATAATTTCTGCACATTGCATTGTCAGCATACTCCGTGCCCCCTCGCAGCTGTTCCCTTGAGACGTCTCACTTTTTATATTGTGTTTATTCTTCTTCACCTATTACACTTGTGATCTTAGACGTCACATAGCAGAAACAGAAGGTGACGTAACTCCTAGATATCAGTAACCACATTCTCTTTACTCTAGCGTACAGCCTTTATAAATCTGCACGAGTTTCCTAGTATATTATATTTTTCTTTGGCTTTTGCTTCCTATATTTCCTTACCCCACACTTGAGTCGTACTCAGGGGGGGTTCCTAAACACACCCCTCATCCAGTCTTCGGACGGTGTCCTGACTCGACTCAACTGTGGGGTTCTCTCCCAGCCTCCCTCTTTCGTAGGGTCTTTCCTTCTTTTTTATCTCCTCCCATTCGGATTTCTCTAACCGGGTTACACATGCTGCAAGCCACCCTTCAGCTTTCCTTTAGCGTATCCGGGAGGGAAAGCCCCACAATTGGGCCGGGCCACTCCCCTCAATTGAATCCGTCACATCTGGGAGGCATTACGCCAACACTGCCCATCTCTCTAAGGGAGTTTTTCTGGGTTTTTCTGAGTTTCGGGGAGATTTGACTGTACTGCAAGTTAATGAGGTATTCTGCAATAATTTACCGTCTTTTGGATGAATCTATAGCACCCCTGGTGTCGGGCAAAATTTTTCACCCATAACTTATCTATCAAAAGGCATAAGGTGGCTTTTATGCGAATGTAAATTAGTTACTATTCTCATTCGTATAAAAGCCGCCGCGTGACGATTTAATCAACTAGATTACTGCGTGCTCCCTCGGGAAGCAGTCTATTGGTTCTTTACGGTCCCCAGGGAAATTCCCTTGGCCTTTTATACGCCCTAGCAAACAAATTCACCGTCTTCTCGCAAGTCTACTCTACAACAGGCAAGCAAGTTTCCCCACCCTCCTCCCCTTCAGCGGCGCTGGCAAATTTTCTCTATCAGCCCACCTTATGCCTTATGCAAAATTTTTCACCCATAACTTATCTATCAAAAGGCATAAAAGCTATAAAAAGGATATCTGAGACATTAAAAGGCTTATATTGACTGGCTTATTTAACGATTGACTCTTAAAATATTGCGTTTTTAACGGTTGCCGGTTAATGTGTGGTCATTAGACGATTGATGGTCATTGACGACTGATGGCTCATTGAGGCTCTCTAGCAAGCAATAATCAGAAGAAATCATTGAATAGTTTAGTTACTGTACCAACAGAACTATTTAGTTCCTACCCGATCAGTTCTCCCACAGAAAAAATAAGGCTCGCTATACACGCTTTTAATAAGTCTGGGCGCCATCTTGAATTTTTACTGAATGACGTCATTCGCGGAAAGATTTCAGCCGCCATCATTGAGTTGTGACTCGTGAGATCTCACCATGGCAGGAAGAGTAACCTGAGATCAGGCTCTATTTTCGTTTTGCTTTGAAAATTACATTCCGGCCGGCAAGACGAAACGAAAAGAGAGCCTGATACAAACCTTTAACGAAATGTCTGCCGCCCACTTTTTTGATTGATTGACATTTGCCGAATCAGCCAATCAGAATTACTTCCGTTGCTTGTTTTTCTGGTATGCAAATTTTTCACGCGTGGGAAAAATGCAGACTGGCTGACTTAAAAAATAGCTTTTATCTGTTAATTTTTTCAGGTAAAAATAAAACAGTCAGCACAATCACATTTAACCTCTTGCGAGATTAAGGGAGATCTAGAAGGTTACTTCTGTTGGCGTAGAAGGTAAAAAGTTTTCGAAAGGACGGCGACACGATGTTCTACTAGTTTTATTATTTTGGCTAGGCGCTCTGGAATTTAAAATACTGAAATCTCTAGTTTTCCGTTGTCTTGATATTTTCCTCGGCAATTTCCCCCGATGTTCAGTACATAAATCTTTAAAAACAAAAGCAAACAGCCAACGAGCGAGGACACCAGTTTTCTTGTTTATTTTTAACAAAAAGCGTAGTCAAACAACCAGTCTGTGAACACTGAAAATTCCTTGAACAGCGATGCGATATTTTTCGTCTAATACTTCACAGTTGGCGATTGAGGTTTCTTTCGCAGTGAGCCTCCGCTTGCGTACCCCGTTCAGAGAAGTCATTCCCGGCTAAACTTTCAAATGAAACCAGTTTTAAGATGGACAGTATTTTGATTTGCACCCGTTTGTTGGTAAATCAAAATGCACCTTGTTAGCGGTCAACAACTTGCAGAGGGATTCAACTCCGCGATACACTCACTTTCCGTAAATAAAGCAAATCCTGAGAAGATATGAACAACCACATGAATTTTCTGAATTTCCATGGCACATATTAAGGCATATTTTCCTACCATAAGACCATAAAACAATAAAAAAGACAGCAAAATCGATCCTTATCTCCACCGACGACGGATCATTCACGAAAACAACCACGCGAGGAATAAGCGCTTTCAACTTCCGGCGTTTCCGACAGCCAATCAGATCTTGTGGAATTGTTCTAACAGCCAATCAGCGTTACGGCCAAAATCTGGCCGTAACGAGCACAAACTTGTAATAGTTTGTATCAGGCCCAATTTCAGCGGTAGCCGTTAGAGAGAATGTATGAGAACCGCTCAAATTGGGCCTGATCTCAGGTTACAGGAAGAGAGACCCAGACAGGTCAGTCTGAATCGTTTTATTCCATTTTTTTTCGTATAAACATTAACTACTGCTTTCACATCCTTTTCCTAGGCTCTAATAATCGTAATTGTGCGGTTCCTCTCTGCAAGTCCTACGGGGCAATATTTGATAACAAGCGCAACAGAAATGTGACTTACCATAAGATACCAAGCGATTTAAATGTAAAGCAAGCATGGCTGCAGCGTATTAGAAGGGAAGAAAACTCAACTTTTAACGTGTGGAACTAATTTTTTTGTGTGTTTGTGAGTTCGAATTCGTACTGCTTCGCCGATCTCTTAAATATCGCTTTTTCTCTAGGTGCAGAAGCATACAGTCGTCTGCTCCCTTCATTTTACGGATGAGGACTTAGAGTATTCTAGTTTTAGTTGTAGGTGGTTTGTGAAAACTGGCAGCCTCCCTCTGTGTTCGAATGCTGGGAACACAAGCCATATCTAATTCCTAAGCAAAATAAGAGGAAGCTGAACAAGAATCAGATTCGATCGAGTGAAACCAGTTGTAAACATCAAAGAGGTGATCCTAGTCGTACTGGAAAAGAGATTGAATCGGCTGAAGTGTTTATTGAGTCAAGTGATACTTCTGAGGAGCAAAACTTTCACAAAACCGACGAAGAAATATCTGAGCTAAAAGCTGAAGTTGTAACACTAAGGGAGCAGGTAAAAACAGCTAACAACAAGATCAAACAGCTTGAGGAAACATTAAGTGGAATGGAATTCTGTATTGAGAATATTGAAGACAAAGATATTTGTTTTTATACTGGATTTCCTAATCGTGAAGTCTACAATGCCGTGTTAACTTATCTTAACCCAGGTCCCAATGGTGAAAATTTAGTGTACACTCGAACTGATTCAAGACCTGACATAGAGTCTACACCCCTGCAAAAACTTGGACGGCCCAGAAAACTATCTCCTTCCAATCAGTTCTTTTTATTCCTTTGTAGGGTTAGGGTTGGGCCCTTTGAATGTGATCTTGCATTTAGGTTTAACATTTCTATTGGGACTGTAAGTAACATTGTTATTTCTTGGGTTAACTTTCTATATCTAAGACTTGGATAATTAAGCATCTGGCCAAGTAAAGAAACAATATTAGCAACAATGCCAGATTCATTTAAAGCAAAATACAAAGACACTAGGGTCATCATTGACTGTACCGAAATAAAAGTGGAAATGCCTAGTTCGCCGGTCCTAAAATCTCGAACGTACTCAAACTACAAAAGTGCCAATACATTAAAAGGGCTAGTTGGCATTTCTCCAAGTGGATGCATAACATTTATATCTCAGCTGTACACTGGCTCAATATCAGACAGGGAAATTACTGAACGCTGTGGTATTCTTAAAATGCCATTTCAAGCAGGCGACAGTTTAATGGCAGATAAAGGATTCGACATCCAGGACTTTCTAGATCCAATCAGTGTCAAGTTAAATATGCCTCCTTTTTTGCACATGCAAGACCAAATGCCTGCTCAAGATGTTCTAGAGACACAGCAAATAGCTGCCGAGAGAATACATGTTGAAAGGGCCATTAATAAAATTAAAAACTTTCATCTATTTGATCAAGTTATTCCATTGTCTCTGGCTGGCTCTATCAACCAGTTATGGACTGCATGTGGATTGCTGACTCTTTTTCAAAAACCGATCATTTCATGACAGTAGATTTGTAGTTGTTCTGGTATCTCTTGAGTAATTATCAGTGTCATGTTTGCCTTATGTTACAGATTGAAATGTAGCTGAGTGTTCCAATTGCCCCATCAAAGTCTCTGAGTTACTAAATAAAATAAACTTACTTAGGAGCCTTCTAGATGGAATGCTTGTATGTCAACATTTTATTCAACAGGTGATGTTTAAGATACCTTTTTCATACAAAGTATATCCATTGCAACATTAAAACTGATAATATAGAACAGTCTAATAAAAAGAGTTAGTCTCATGTGGAAACTTAAATCTCTTTAGAGTGGTGTCCCTTGGTTCTCTAAACCTTAGACTTAAACCTTCATGGCCTCTGGCATTACATGCTGCTGATAAAAGTTTGTTAGTTTAGTAATCATTGACTTCCAAAATGGCTCATCAAACTTTATTCGCTGTACAATAAGGTCTTTCTGAAAAAATACTACAAAATCACACTACTTTAATCCTGCCAAACCCATCTGGCCTTGTACTTGATAGTAATAAGGGTGATCCTTTTTAAGCTCAGGCTTACCATTAACTAGTTGACAATAAAAACTTGGCTCAGCACATGCCTCCTCAGGTGTCAGGTGTCTTAATGAATAGGGGCATTTGATTTCAACCAAACCAAAACCAAATATTTTATCTATCACCTTTCTGTCTGGTGAAGCAGCCAACCATGGCATTGTGCTGGATAAGACAAGACCGCACTCTAGGACCTGAACGTCATGTCCAATACCTGTCATGTATTCAGCATACTTATTTGCTGCTTTAGCCTCGTTTGAAATCCCGTACCTTATAACAGGCACATTGGAAAGATCCTTTGATGACAGCAATTTTTCTTGAACAAACTTTGTTTGAGATATGTTAAGTTTTCGGTTGCAAACAAGTCCAAAATTACTACTAGTTAACCTTAGTCTTCTACTTTGAAACCACAAAGGGTTGTTGCTTTGACCTCTAGTTTCTCGTTCAATCAAAGATGGATTAGGGACATTTAAATGACTAATAAACCGGTCCTCCTGATAAGAAAGGGGCATTTGCAATCCCAACCCAGCTGGTACATTAGTTTCAATGGGGAGGTCAGGAAAGTAGTCACCAACAGCTCTGGGTCTTTGCAAGACTGGAAAATTTGTTGAAACATTGAAGTTTGCTTCTGTTAGGGAGAGCTGGTAGCTTAACACACTACCACATGGAACCTTGAGTCCATTTAATTTAGTTGGAATCGTTGCAGGTTTTTGTTCAAACACAGTACAGAATCCTAAAGAAGAATTAATGCTTTTCAGTGAATCAAATAAATTATTTGCCCCCTCGTGATTTTGGACCGTTGGTTGTCTGGCTTCATACAAAGTACACTTTAAACCCTCTGAGCTCTTGTCCCTGTATTTAGGATTGATCACATTATATCCCATAATAGGTTCAGGGTTTATACCCTGGGTTCTTGGTTTATGCCACTGTTGGGGGTTGTCTGTGCATGTTCCAATTCTTGGGAATTCAGGGGCCTTTAATTTGATGACATGGTCAATCAGATATAATAAACCCATGGTGTGATTACAATACCCATTTGCACCTGCTGGACAAGAACACTTAGCCCTCTTAACATCTCCAGTAGTTAACAGTATCACAGTAACATTATGAGGCCTTTCATTTTTCTTTTGTGATCTAAGGCACTTCCCTTTTACATGGATTTCATTGTCTTCAAGCTTACATAAAACATCGTGACAATAATTTTCATAGAAAAACTTGTACTCCTTTTCGAGGGGCTTTTCAACACAGCTTTTTGCTTCTCTTCCGGATTTTTTGGCATGTTCAACAATATTAAGGTAGGAAAAACGCTTTGGAAGAACTGAGGTATCAGTACTCCAGCTCTCTTCAACGTCTACATCTGTATCTGTAACCAGTGCTTCCGGCTCTTGGCTTTCTGGATTTCTAAGCTGCTCCTCCACAGAACAAAATCTGCATCTTGCTTTTTTTTTGCACGTGTGTATGCTTTCTCGGGATCGGGGTCGATCAGAATAAAATCTTTATCCAAGTTCTGTCTTACCCTAAAAGCGATACATAAATACTTAAACGCTAATGATCGAAAACAGAAACGTTCAATGGAGATAGTATTATAGTACATTTTGAAAGGTAATCGGTGCAAACAAACGTGCAAACCTCCAAGAGAGGTCACGTCGGTAATAAGCTTTATTATCGCATTTATGTTATCGTTTTCGTTTGACAAAAACGCCGCATAAACAATCAAAAATAAAAACAAGTTGGTCTATAATAAACGTTTACCTTGAAAGAAGGTCAACTCTTGTTTCTGTTGACTTATAACGTAAGCCACGGCAGTTAAGCCAGAACTTTAATTCGCTTTTTTTGCATTTTTCTAAATCGGCCCTCGATGTCATTGATCCTGGAATATCCTCGGACGAAAGCTGAAATAAATTCAAAAGCACCAACTTCAATTTTGTTTCGCCACTAAAGACATTTGTGTTTACAAAAGCACCCTTGATTTAAAGGGAAAACTCACCTCAGTACATGTACAAACTGCGGGTTCATCCTGAGTAGCCATGTTGGCCACGTGGAAATCTTTCCGCGAATGACGTCATTAATTAAAAATTCAAGATGGCGTCCAGACTTATTAAAAGCGTGTATACTGTCCCAAATGGTCACGAAGTATCTGTGTAGTCTTATTAGGGGGCATTGCAGGCAAAACCCGAAACTTGGAATTACACCAAATTCTCTTCAAAGAAGTACAATATTTTGAATCAACGTAACAAAACCTCACACAAATCATACGTGATCAGATGATATTTTGATCAGTTCTTCCAAGCTGCTATGATGTGATTGGTCCGTGAAACTATTAAAGGTCCCGTTGTGGAACTACGTACTCAATTATTGCTAGTACAACAGGCTGTAGGTGGAGCAACATTATTGGGTGAGTTGATTTTGTTTTTGTTTTTTTTTTTTTTGTTCCACGCATGAAGACGTTGCTTAAATATATGCAACAGAAGAGAATTTTTAGACTAAGTCAGTGTTGTAAGAGCAAAACCAGCGTAATCAAAAACAGTTGCAAATAATTCGGTTTATTATACATTGTAGTCGCCATCTGTGCATGATTTCCAAGAGCAATGTCAAGTGCACGGACAGCAATGTCAAGTTCGCGGACAACGAAGTAAGAATGGCTTCTCGATTCGCTTCATCGACCCAGCAAGAAATTGAGAAATTACTTGAAGATAAAGTATAATAACACAATTATAAGATTCGGCTTTTGTGATATCCGGAATAATCAAGGTCTCGGTTAGTGTTATCAGTCTCAGCCTTCGGCTTCGCCTGATAACACTTACCTCGACCTTGATTATTCCGGATATCACAAAAACCTCATCCAATAATTGTTTAAAATCAATCCAAACTTAAAGTATAAACATGTAGTTGCTACGATTCAAGGAAATTGTGTGTAAGCGAGTCAAGATTGGTGTGGTTTTAGAATTTTGAAGAGAGGCGATTTCATAATCCAATAACCAAGTAAAATAACGCGAAACCAAATGCAAGCGGAGATTACTTTTGCTGACATACAAGTAAAAAATCTCTGAATTTGAACTCAGTTTTCTGACAGTTTGTGATAACTTTGACAAATGACCATCACTAAGATTTCAAAAAACGATGCTAACATTAATTACAAATAAAACTTGGCCTAATGTAACCGAGCTCGATAATTAGCTCACAAAGCATTTTCTTTTCGGTATTATTTTTGCGTTTCCGTTTATCGTTTTCCCACGGTACGCGTTTCTTTAGTTGTGCTTTGTGGTTAGCCGTGTTTTATCTAGCTCTGTGATTTCTCCGCCGTTACAGCCTTAAACAGGAAAGAAATTAATTGATTTTAGCTCGCTTTAATTTGCCGCCATTGCTGTAGTTAACCGCGAAACTCTCCATTTGTTTCCCTTATTGGATTAACAGAACACGTATGTATTCTGCGGTAAAGCGATAATAGTGTTTTACAAACAGGCGTATTGCCAAAGATAGATTTCCCTGTTTTGTGGCTTACCTAGCTATAGTTGTCCAATCGTATTGCTAATAACAGGATGCGAGCTGTTTGTGGTCCGCGCGATATAAATACGTCTGCATGTAGCGTTTCTACGCATTACTACAGTTCCAGTTGCCGCGTTCACTAGTCAAGCCGTAGGACATAGTTTTGTAGAGTTCTCCCCTCGCTGGAGTGGGTAAGTGTTCTCCTTTTGCTGTTATTTCTAGGATGTTCTTCGTTCTCCTTCGAGGTCATCGTGTTTATGAAAAGTCCAGCGACCGTAGTATTACTTTGCTGTTGTAGATTTCATCGTTTCTTGGTTTTGTTGTTTTCCGCTGTTGTATCGAGCACTTTCGCTCTGAAATCATTATCCTTTAGTTTCGTAGCCGTTGTTATTCCTTTAGCTTAGTGTTTTGCTTAGTTTTGCCACCGTTTTGTGCGAGATCTAGATCACAACCTTTCAGTTTGACCTCGTTTAGCCTTTGTTTTCTTGTCTTCGTATCATATGACTCTTGGCACGAGTCACGTGCTATTTGTCACGCTTGTTCTTCTTTCGTGACCTAGCATGTTTCTCAGCGTGTTTTGTTTACTTTTTACATTTTAGTGTACTTTTGTTCTCTTAGTTGTATTGTTTAGCCGTCTTAGTAATTTTTAGCGTCGTTGTCTCCTTTTAGCGCTATTGCCCTTTTCATCGCCCCTTTTCTTTCCCTTTTTGTTGCTTTATTCGTTTTCCTGGTACTTGTTTTTATTAAATTCTAAATTAAATTCCATTAAATTCTTGTTTGTTTTGTACGCATTTTGTCTTCCATTGGTTGTCATTCGCTACCTCCCCTACTCGCGCGGCTCGGTCACGTTTTGGTACCAGAAGTGGGGTAGCGAATATTATTTGGCTTCCAAAATCTTAGAAATACAATAAAGCACTAGCAGTAGAAAAGGGCAATAGAGGTCACATCCCATATGGAGGGTGAGGTGGAGGAACTCAAACAGAAGCTCCAAAAAATAGAGGAGGAACACAACCAGGCATATCAACTCCTGAAAACCCTCCAAGCCAAGGAATCCCCAGGAGCTCCAACCCCATCCCAACCCCAGGAAAAGCAGTTAGTGGTGATCCCCAATGAACAAAAATTGAGGAAGTTTAGTGGAAGACATGGTGATAATGAACTGTCCATAGAGGATTTTATTGATAATGCGAAAAGCGCAATCACCTCAAGAGGACTCCCCCTCCCAGAGCAGGCGAATTTCGTACTCTCATACCTAGAGGGCCCTGCTAAAGAAGAAATGAAGCTTTACCCTAAAAGTGACCTTACGAATTCAGATAAGATCTTCGACCTCCTTCAAGAGTCTTTTGGCGAGAAGCGTTCTGTTCCCCAGCTCTTAAAAGCCTTTTACGACCGCCGACAGAGGGAAGGCGAAACCCTTCGTGCATTCTCCCATGCCCTGAGAGAACTGCAAGCCAAGATAGAAAAGAAAAGTGTGACCAAATCAAGTGGCCAAGACGCAGCTCTTCGAGACCACTTCGCCGAAAATGTTAGAGATCCCCTCCTTCGGAAGGAACTCAAGAAGTTTATCAGAACACACCCAGAAATTTCCTTTCTAGACACCAGAGAGGAAGCTATTCGATGGCCCGAAGAAGACGAGAGGTCCTGTGGACCACGCCCCAGGGTGGCTTCGTCGCATGAGAACAGTACCTCCACTAAGCCCTCTTCCCTCGAATAAGCCATGAATGAGATGATTAAAACCCTGCAAGGCCAGCAAAAGGCTATCGAAGACCTAGCAGCCAATCTCAAGAAGCTGAATACAGTGCCCACCAACAGAGGACAGAATGCACAGTTTCAGCCCCAGTTTCAGCGGAGACAGCCCAGACCGACGCAGGTGGTGACAGGTGTTAGCAGTGTGGAGCACCAGGACACTTTGCCCGGAATTGTACAGCAAGAAGTAGACCCCCACCCCTCCGGAACCTCACCCCTAGGCCTCCACCTAACCTGTCAAACTAGCCCCCCCTGCTGCTGAGAGTCAGGCGGCAGGAGGGAACAGTCTTGGCTCACCTTGTACCCCGCAGTTACCTGGAATTGTCTATGAGAGAGCAGTCGGAAGTTGTCCAGTCACCACTGTGAAGCTGGGAGGAGTACATGTACACTGTCTTCTTGACTCGGGATCACAAGTCTCCACCATCACTGAGAGTTTCTTTACTAATCACTTCCGCCCTAGAAGAAGCAAATTACTTGACATAAACCAATGGGTTACCCTTACAGCTGCTAATGGCCTGGAAATACCATACATTGGTTACCTGGAACTAGACTTTGAAGCACAAGGTGTAACCATCCCTAACAGAGGTGTTCTCGTGGTACGAGACCCTCCTGATCCCCAGTCAAGAGCCCGTAAAGAGGCTGTGCCAGGTCTGATTGGAATGAACATTATACAAAGAAAGAACCAAGAGATTAAAGAACCCAAACTCCTAGAAGACTCTGCTTGGACTAATACACTTCAAGCTGCAGGAAAGGCTATGACGTCAGTTAGAGGATTTGCGAAGATTGCAGGCAAAAGCGATGTTAGGATCCCAGCTGGAATGGTCACAACTGTAGATGCCACTGGTTATCGAGGATCGCAGCCTGGTGAAGATCATCCTCGGAGACCCAGGGGCAGTCGGGTCGATAAAATGTTCGTGGTGAAAGTTTACTGTAAGATCGAGACGAGCCCCTGGGCACTTACTCTTACCGAACCAGTTCCAGAAGCGTTTGAATTGCCTGTTTCTGATTGGCCAGAAAAAATTTTTTCTGGCCAATCAGCGAAGAGAAGCTGCCGTGTGACTCTCGTGTTTTCTTACACGACGTAGTTTTCCTCATCGACGGCCATAGTTGCGTAGCGCGTTCAAGGAGGAAAGTTTCTCGACGAAAGTTTCAGAACAAAATGTTAACAATCCGCAAAATTGCAACCTTTAGCACGGCTACAAGAAACAAACACTCTCCGATGAATTTTTAGGGCGGATCTTTCCAAGGTATCGTAAATTTTTATTGCTGATACGATACCCGATGCATGACTTTCACTTTCCACCCCTGAATTTTCTCACATTGTCTAGTATACAACACCAAGCTTACATTTTAGATGTCCATGTTCGTTGCACGACTTCTGAAACTTTCTACAGCGTGAAAATTTCCGTTGACGGGCCACGCAACTACGTCGATTGATCTTGGGAAATGCCGGCTAACTGCAGTGCCTTCTTCTTGCTTTCTCTCCAAACTCCTTTCGAAACTTTTAAGCTTAAAATCTTACAGCAGTTGACCGTACGAATTCTGCTGAAGTTGATAGTAGTGTTAACTTTAGATTCGAGGGAGACCTCCAGCAAGCGCATGAAGAATTAGAAGGCTTTTCTTTGTTTCCTCTGGTACAGTGGTACAGTTCAAAGCGAAGCAAAGATTTATTATTGAGAAGATTGTGGAAAGGAGAGATGTTTTTGGGCAATTGATAGAGGAGTCTAACCTTCCAAATGTTGCCTATAAGCTTGGGGGTTTAAAAATCGTTAGATGCTAAAGGTTATGAATTCCCTAGTAATCCATTGGTCATAGTGATTTCACCTCTCATGTCAATTGTTGTGGACCAGGTTAAGTACTCGAGGTCACTAGGAATTCAGGCCGCTTTCTTAGGGGAAAGCAAAACAAAAGATCAGTGTTACGGCCCATCGTCGTACTAGTACTCGGGTCATTAAAAGCCCCGTGAGACTGGACCTGTGAGAGTAGAATAAATTATGTAGATAACACGTCACGTGACTTCCTTGCTAGTCGCTCGTAGATTTGTTGTAAGTCGGGTTCCGGGCAGTACATTAACCTGTTGTAAATCGGTGTATTGTAAATCAAGCGCATTAAAGTTGTGTTCAAGTGTTCAAGTTTGTATTCCATCGCTTCCTTAACAATCAGAAATATTTAATGGATAGGGAGTGTTTTCTTTGTTGTATGGAAGCCCAGAATCATTAACTGGGGAACAAGAAATTCAGGGCAATGTTCTTTAAGGAATTTTACCAGAAGAATCCCGTTGCAGGTACATACAGCTGTTCATTGGAAAGTATGCTGATTTGTTTATTAGGAAGGTTGCTACACTGAGTTCATTGTGGGGAGTTCTGAAGGGGTAAAATGGGATGTTGTTGCTCTGGAAAAATGGGATTTAAGTCACTGGCAGGGGGAATCTATCACTGAGAATGGGAAAAAAATGTAAAAAATGGGAATTGAGGGTTAAACAGTTTCAATGGGATAGATATGCCCCCTTCAGGACCCCCATTATACTTAACAGTAGATCTGGCTTTTATTCAAGGATGCTCAGTAATCTTATGTCTAAAAGCTGACAGACTCTTCACAAGAATTATCATGTTTTTTTTGTCGCCATTTATTGACAATTGAAAGGTGATGAAGTAAGCCTTGCGACTGCTTAATTAAGATAATAGTGCAATTGAACATTTACATATTATAAATGGAAAAACACCCCATAATACAGAACTACAGATGCCATTACATTAATTTTATTTTTAAGCTGTTGAGATTTTTTTTTTTACTTTTTTATTGGAGTTCACATGTCTACTTATAATACTGCTTGAGTTATGTATATACTAGGGAGCTGTAATATTTTATTTTATTTTAATTTGTTGATTGTTTCTGTCCCAAAGGGTTTGTTTTACTAGGTAGCCAACAAGTATACTTGAGTTTATTATTTGAAAACTGTCTAGAAAAATGGGGTGTGCTTTATATTGGGGTGCACATTATACACAAGTAAATATGGTATACCTACACATAACATACCAAAACTGTTTTCCAACACTCTCTGGAAAAAGGGAACTGTGCTGAAATTGTCTCTTACTGTTTTCGATAATTCTAAAAGTCTTTCTTCTTTTAGATTTCATTAAGCGTACAACCTGTAGAAGAGAAAAAACTCCTTCCTTTTTTGATGACAGTGATGAAAACAGCAGAATCATTCCAAGCCACTTATGTTGCGACATCAGTGCCAAAGACTGTTAGTCTACTTAAAGAAAATCAATAATCTGTGACAGGAATTTCAAGAATCAAATCTTCACTTCTTGTATTCTAGAATTTGTATTCTAATAAGTTATGTTCTGTGGAAAGTATTTTAAAGACACTGTGTGGAATGGTGACCATGCAATGAAGATTTTTACCTTTCTGAAGAGGGTGTTTAAAGATTTAAAAATAATTATCAATGAAGAATATTATTGTCAGATGAGGAGAATTATGATAGGGAAGTTATGAAATATCAAACAAATGCACCAAAGGAAAATTTTTAATATTGCAGCATTATTTTTTCAAAATAAGTCCAATCTTGTACCATCAATGCCAAGGGAGTTAAAACAATGGCACTGTGGATGTGTTTGAGGGGGTCAGTAAGTGGAAACATCAAGTCAATCATAGATAAGTAGTTTGGCAAAAAAACACATATTATGTGAAATTATTTTTATACATGTATCTTATAATAAAAATTAATTTCTACTATATTAGCCATAATTCTAATCACAGTGAGGATTAACCCAGGTTCTCTTATGGGGTCTAGTAAGCCAGAGCCCCAGGTCCTTGAAATCAAGAGCTGAAGTTGGATCTTTGGAAAGTGTCCCTATTGCTTGGTCTCTTCTCCCTGGAATTTCCTTAAGAGCGTTCACTTCTTGTAAAGTTTTAGTGACTACAAAAATATCTATATAGACTTCCCACCCTTCCACGATTTCTCAACTCTGTACCTACACGTATCACACACTGCGCGTTTATCGCCCTCCAAAACTTTCACACCAACCACACATTTTCGCAAACTCAACTTTATTTTTTTTCTTCACTTATCCGTAAAAATAAACCCACACAACCTGCAAAAATCGACCTCACTTAACAAGTCAGGATTCAGCACATAACCGGACCGAGATTTCGAAATAAACACAACGGCTGTATTTAAAATACGTACGGTAAGGGATCGAGTTTGGCGCGAAAGCAAGAAGGTGCGTGCACTGCAGCAAGCCAGCAATTCCCACGATCAATCGACGTAGTTGCGTGGCCCGTGCAACGGAGATTTTCACGCTGTAGAAAGTTTCAGAAGTCGTGCAACGAACATGGACATCTAAAATGTAAGCTTGGCGTTGTATACTAGACAATGTGAGCAAATTAAGGTGTGGAAAGTGAAAGTCATGCATCGCGTATCGTATCAGCAATAAAAATTTACGATACCTTGGAAAGATCCGCCCTAAAAATTCATCGGAGAGTGTTTGTTTCTTGTAGCCGTGCTAAAGGTTGCAATTTTGCGGGTTGTTAACATTTTGTTCTGAAACTTTCGTCGAGAAACTTTCCCCGTTGAACGCGCTAAGCAACTATGGCCATCGATGAGGGAAACTACGTCGTGTAAGAAAACACGAGAGTCACCCGGCAGCTTCTCTTCGCTGATTGGCCAGAAAAAATCAGAAGCAGGCAATTCAAACGCTTCTGGAACTGGTTCGGTAAGAGTAAGTGCCCAGGGGCTCGTCTCGATCTTACAGAAAACTTTCACCACGAACATTTTATCGACCCGACTAACCGCCCCTGGGTCTCCGAGGATGGGTGAAGATGCAATTGTCCTTATTTAGCCCCTAAGAGATTTGTCATGTCATGGACAGGTAATCATGAGCACCCTCTCATCAGTCAGTCGAGGACGTGTCAAAGTACAAGTTGCTAACATAGCACAAGAAGACGTTTGGCTCCGCCCCCGTGAGAGAATTGGTATAATGCATGCAGTAGCAGGTGTCCAGGATGACAACCAGGCAGTTATCTTCTTCAGTCTCTGCCAGTGAAGTAGTGATACAACCCAAGCCCGAAGAATCCCCCAAGAAAGAAGATTCTCCGAAGTCTACACCCATTCCCCCTGAAGACATGCATTGCACCCCTCAGCAGCAAGTAAAACTTGATGAGCTCCTGGCCAAGTACAAGGACATGTTTGTTACTGATGATGATGAACTAGGCTACACCGAAACAGTAAAGCACAAGATATTCACCACAGATGACATCCCTGTAAATCAGCCTTTCCGAAGAATACCCCCCGGTCAGTACCAAGAAGCAAAAGAACAGATTCAGAAACTCCTAAGTCAAGGCATCATCCGAGAGAGCCACAACCCCTATTCCTCCCCAATAGTACTTGTGCGGAAGAAGAATGGTAGCCTCTGCATGTGTGTGGATTACAGAAAGTTAAACGCAAAAACCGTTAAAGATGCTTATCCCTTACCTCGGATCGAAGAATCTTTCGATGCACTGCAGGGAGCAAGCTGGTTTTCTACCCTGGATTTGGCAAGTGGTTTCAACCAGATAGGAGTAACTGAAGAAGACAAAGCGAAGACTGCGTTCATAACCCCTTTGGTCTGTTTGAGTACAACAGGATGCCTTTTGGACTCTGTAACGCACCTGCGTGTTTTGCTCGGCTTATGCAAGCTTACCTAAATGAGCAGATCTTCCAGATTTTGCTTGTTTACTTGGATGACATCCTGATCTTCTCGAAAACCTTTGAAGGGCACCTTGAGAGACTAGAAATGGTCCTTAAACGCCTGAGAGAACATGGTTTGAAATTGAAGTTGGACAAGTGTACCTTCCTGCGTAGAAGAGTAACCTAAGTGGGACACGAAGTATCTGGTGTTGGTATTGCCCCAGACGCCCAGAAGATAGCAGTTGTACAAGAGTGGCCAGTTCCCCAAACTGTTAAGGAACTCAGAACCTTCTTAGGCTTTGCAAAAGTTATTATCGAAGATTCATTGAAAGCTTTGCCAAGATAGCAGGACCCCTTCACCAGCTAGTGAACAATTCACTTCATGAACTCAAAGTTAACAAGAGACTTTTGTGCCCCTTTAAAGAGAAATGGAACCAAGAGTGCCAAGAAGCATTTGACATCCTGCGTGAGAAGCCCACAACTGCACCAGTACTTGGTTACGCAGATTACACCAAGCCTTTTATTGTGGAGACAGATGCTAGCCATGATGGATTAGGAGCTGTGCTATCCCAGGAACAAGATGGTAGACGTAGAGTTATCGCTTATGCAAGTCGTCGGCTCAGACCCCCAGAGAAAAACATGCAGAATGATAGTTCCCGTAAACTAGAGTTACTAGCGCTGAAGTGGGCTGTCACAGAGAAGTTCAGAAGTTACCTGTTAGGTACAGAATTCGTGGTGTACACAGACAACAATCCCCTGAGTCACCTCCAGTCAGCCAAGCTAGGAGCAGCAGAACAAAGATCGGCAGCTGAATTAGCCTTGTTTAACTTTAAGATGAAGTACCGCCCTGGTAGAGCCAATGGAAACGCAGATGCACTTTCAAGAGTAGCATGTGGAAATCATGAAAAGGGAATCCCACATGCTGACGATTTAGCTGAGATTCAGTTGGAAAACATTAGCGTCACGCAATCCACCCCAGTTCCAGTCGAGGTAAGAGAGTTGGTGACGACCTACACCTCCCAAGAACAACTGAGTACAAGTACCCCAGAGACAACATTCACCAGCCTTCCCTCTCACAGCCCAGCTGAGTTACGAGACATGCAGATTGCAGACCCCGTCATCAGTCGCCTCCACTACTACAGGCAAAACAACCGCAAACCCACCCCCTAAGAAAGGAGAGGAGAATCACGAGATGCTGTTACATTGCTCAACCAATGGGATAAGGTTGAAGAGGAAAATGGCGTACTGTATCGATTCATTCAAGATCCCCATTGCGGCCAACGAAAACAGTTGATCCTTCCCCAGAAACTTAAAGAGAAAGTACTTACCAGCCTACATGATGGTATGGGCCACCAGGGGACAGAGCGAACATTACATCTGATTAGAGACCGTTGCTACTGGCCGGGAATACATAGCGATGTAGAAGCATGGGTAAAGAAGTGTGAAAGATTTTCCTTGTCTAGAGAACCATTATCACGTGTTAGACCAGCCATGGGACACCTCTTAGCTACTAAACCCCTAGAAGTTCTTGCGATCGACTTCACACTGTTTGAGCCAGTCACAGATGGCAGGGAGAACGTGTTGGTGATTACAGATGTTTTCACAAAATTTACACATGCAGTTCCTACCAGAGACCAGCGGGCGAGCACCACAGCTAAAGTACTCCTCAAGGAATGGTTTTTTCAGTATGGTGTCCCTCTGAGAATTCACTCCGATCAAGGAAGAAGTTTTGAGAATGCAGTGATCACCGAACTCTGTAAGCTATACGACATTAAGAAGTCGCGTACCACTCCTTATCACCCTCAAGGCAATGCCCAATGTGAAAGATTTTACAGAACCATGCACAACCTGTTGCGTTCACTCCCACCAGAAAAAAAGAGAAAGTGGCCAGAGTACCTCCCAGAACTTCTTTATGCCTATAATGTCGTCCCTCATGCATCCACCAGCTATTCTCCGTATTACCTGATGTTTGGCCGTAACCCCCGCTTACCACTAGACCTAATGCTTGGAGCAGACGAAGAGGATCCACCTGAAACAGACTGGCTAGCTTCCCACCAAGACCGCTTACGAGATGCTTACCTCAAAGCAGGGGAGCACCTCAGACAGCAAGCAGATGCTCGGAAAGCCATCAGCGACAAGAGTACCAATGACCAGCCAATTGAAAAAGGCCAGTTTGTCTACCTACGCAGTCATCCTCGAGACAGAAACAAGATACAGGATGCTTGGGATCCCACCTTGTACAAAGTTCAAGAGACGCCAGGACCTACAGGAGCTGTTTATACAGTTGCTCCAGCCCATGGAGATGGACCCAGCAAGAGAGTATATCGGACCCTGATGAGACCATGTCATAGGCAGGTACAGCCATGCCTTGACACCAACCCCATTGTGCAGACAGATTTGATTCCCCCAAGTGTGAGACATAACAGAGTGCCCACTGAACCCCAAGATGATGAAGAAGAGATAATCGTGATGAGCAGACGCCCCCATCCTGTATTGAACACAGCACCTCCAGAACCCTGTGAGCCTGTGAAGCCCCTCGAAGAATCAGAAACCAGTGAGCCCCCAGTTCCAGAAATGAGGAGGGAGATCAAGCGCCCTATGCAGAACCTGAGGTTGTTGAACCTGAGATTGTTGAACCTGCCGTTCCAGTACCGCCAGTTGCAGAGACCCCCGAAGAACCAATTCATGTGGAACACCCAGCCCCAGAGCCCCCTGAAGAGACGACCGCGAGACGCTCAACCCGGACGACAGCAGGACAGCATTCTAATCCCCATAGAGCCCCAAGATCAGCAGTAAATAACTCAGTGACATTGACTGTTAAAGACTTTCCAGTATATTTCATTTTGTTATGTTGGTTCTTAGCATATAGCCTTTGGTTAAACAAGTTGTTAGTTTAAATAAGCATTGTTGTGGTCTGTCGAGGACGACGACCTAAACAGGGGAGAAATATAACCGAGCTCGATAATTAGCTCACAAAGCATTTTCTTTTCGGTATTATTTTTGCGGTTCCGTTTATCGTTTTCCCACGGTACGCGTTCCTTTAGTTCTGCTTTGTGGTTAGCCGTGTTTTATCTACAATCGGCGACAAAATTGTTGAGACATTGTACTTAAATAGGGTAGTTTCGGAGAACAAAGGAATCCGCACCCCTCCCCTGTCCCCTCCATTCAAAGTTGGGGTGTTTGTTGTTCTCTATAGGCAGCTAGAACAAGGGTACAACATTACACGGAGGGGATGGGGGAGGAAGGCTATATTTCCTCCTTTTGAAGTTAATAAAACGTAAAGGAGCCCGGTTTTGGGCGAAGTGTCTCAACTCATTTTGTCGCCGATTGTAGCTCTGTGATTTCTTCGCCGTTACACCCTTAAACAGGAAAGAAATTAATTGATTTTAGCTCGCTTTAATTTGCCGCCATTGCTGTAGTTAACCCCGAAACTCTCCATTTGTTTCCTCCTATTGTATTAATAGAACACGTATGCATTCTGCGCTAAAGCGATAATAGTGTTTTACAAACAGGCGTATTGCCAAAAGAAAGATTTCCTTGTTTTGTGGCTTACCTAGCTATAGTTGTCCAATGGTATTGCTAATAACAGGATGCGAGCTGTTTGTGGTCCGCGCGATATAAATACGCCTCCACGTAGCGTTTCTACGCATTACTACAGTTCCAGTTGCCGTGTTCACTAGTCAAGCCGTAGGACATAGTTTTGTAGAGTTCTCCCCTCGCTGGAGTGGGTAAGTGTTCTCCTTTTGCTGTTATTTCTAGGATGTTCTTCGTTCTCCTTCGAGGTCATCGTGTTTATGAAACGTCCAGCGACCGCAGTATTACTTTGCTGTTGTAGATTTCATCGTTTCTTGGTTTTGTTGTTTTCCGCTGTTGTATCGAGCACTTTGGCTCTGAAATCATTATCCTTTAGTTTCGTAGCCGTTGTTATTCCTTTAGCTTAGTGTTTTGCTTAGTTTTGCCACCGTTTTGTGCGAGATCTTGATCACAACCTTTCAGTTTGACCTCGTGTAGCGCTTGTTTTCTTGTCTTCGTATCATATCACTGTTGACACGAGTCACATGCTATTTGTCACGCTTGTTCTTCTTTCGTGACCTAGCATGTTTCTTAGCGTGTTTTGTTTACTTTTTACATTTTAGTGTACTTTTGTTCTCTTAGTTGTATTGTTTAGCCGTCTTAGTAATCTAAAGTTATCAAAATCTAGTGGTCACAGAATAAAAGAGCAAAGTTTATTTTCATATGCTGTCAACAGTACATCGGTGTGCCGCATACACACGTTATGTGCAAGAATATTAAACTCTTAGATGAAAGCAAACATCAAGATTATAGAAACAAAAAAACACTACCTTTTAACAGATCTGTTATTTCTTTCTGTATATATCTCGATAAACATGTTTAATTATGATGGATAGGCCGGCAAATCGAAACGAAGTGGCAACCAAAAGTTCAACAACATTTTGACAAAATAAAAGTAAATCATAAGGTATGTTTTTTAGCAACCAAACTATCCATATATCAGTATAGTTTGAAGTGTCAACCTCTTGTGAAGGCATCTCTAAATCAAGTTTTTTACTGATACACCCAAAGTGTCTTTAATGTAGATATCACTTCAACTGCATTTTCAGCACTTTTAACCGGTTTGCTTCGGGGCAATCTAACGTACGTTAAGCATAGCGTACAATTAAAGAGATTTTGTAATATGACTGAAAGAGGGAGAATAATTTTCGAAATCCAAATAAATAGTTCTTGACTTCAAATACACACATTTCCAGTTGTTGCAAATAAGCTTGCATGAGTTAGTATAGTTTTTTGTTCAAACAACTAGATGAAATTTATAAATACCTCCGCCGTTTATGACACTATGCCGTGATACGTTGTTGCCCCCGCAGGGTTTCGGCCTGTAGGCCGAAACCCGAGGAGGCATCCTCACGAGGGCCAACCAATCCGAATCAGCTGTATACATTAACGCATTCTTGACTCTCGGATTAGTCCCTATCATGTCTCTGCCCCATTACGTTTTCTACGCACTTTCTAGGCACCTTCGGGCTGTCCAGGATTAAACGCAGTTTCAAAATTTACAACGGTTGCGAGTTTTTGTGACGGAATGGCTTAAATTTTGAAATCTTACAAATTCTTTTGTAATTGTTGCAATTTTCATAAAATTCGTAGTTTTCTCGAGAGCCCTACCTGAGCCCTTCCCCCTCTTTTAATTTTTGACATTTTTTGCAATTTTCTGAACCCCTTTATTTCTGGACGTTTCTCTAAATTGGATGTAAAGATGGCATCATTAATTCTCAATTGTTATTTTTTATTGTTGTTTTCCCTTTCACATTACTTAGAGTCCTATCATCGATTCACATGATGTATATTGACATAAGAAAAAAAAAATACCCAAGTTATCACGCGAGTTAAAGTATCGTTAAGTTGGCTAAAATAATTGTATTTAAGACCGTTTTTCACACTTTATGATATTCAATATTTCCATGCATTTGAAGTTTCAAGGGTCAGGTATATTTTCAAGCCAATTTGTAACAGAAAAGCGACAGTTAAAGAAGAGTTGACTTTCAGCAGTGTCTTATAATTAAGCAAAAAACATTTTTGCACTATTTAACTACTTTGAGTAGACTTTTGCTTTAGAAATTAGGTTATATTATGCCCTCTCGATTTTTATCGCGTGACAGTGTATTCCATTTTCCCCGTTATCTCCTTGGTTCTAATTGATGATTGTTATATCAGGTGGGGCTTTCAGCCAATGTTTTATACCGTCAACAAAACCCTTTTAACACCTCGCTTATTTTCCATTAAATGTTCGAAAGGTGTCCAAATATGAGTTCATGAAAATCTTTTATTCCCCATTAGATATTCGTCAACACACACCCCTAGCTTCTCACGGCTGAATATATACTACAGCTTCCCTCTCTGAGTTTGTCATTTGGTGTTCTTCTCCGCCTAGATCGTTTGACTCAAATTTGCTCTGTCAAGTGTTATGATGAAGCTGCTCTTCTTCCTCGTCGTCTTGGTCCACCTCTTGGCCAATCCAAGTGAAGCCCAAGTAAGTAAGATATAAAATATTTCATATCATAACATTGAATTCTTTTAAAGTGAATCGAAATTTTTGCAGAAACTTTCGATTCCTGCTATATATTGGTCCTTCGACATAGACGTACCCATTCTTAACGTGAAAACACGCGCATACATCGTATCTTATAAGAGACATTAAGTTCTTTTTGGTAATATTTTGTTATGCGTAGAGATCATTTTAAAATATCTCTCACATAAAAAATGGTCATGAATAAGATCTAGGCGTTTGAATTCTAAACAATCCAATTAGCTTTACTGTACATTAACGACATCAACAATGCTTCTAATCTATTAAATCTGATATTGTTCGCTGACGATACCAATGTATTCATGTCACATAAAGATCTGAACTATCTCTCAGATATGTTAAACTTGGAGATGGACAAACTGTCAATCTGGTTTAAAGCAAACAGGCTTTCTCTAAATCTTAAAAAGACTAAATTTATGGTCTTTAAACCAAGACAAAAGCGTTCAATTTGTAATATTCAAATAAGTATAGATAATCAAAATATTGTTAAAGTAAAGGAGACAAATTTTCTAGGCGTAATTTTGGATGAAAACCTAAATTGGAAGTCGGAAATATCTCACGTCGCAAGTAAAGTTGCGAAGTCAATCGGTATAATATCTAGATGCAGCTTCTTTCTTCCTAAATCGTCTTTACGTATGCTCTACTATTCCTTAATTTATCCTTATTTTTACTACTGCAATATCGTTTGGGCTTCAACCTATAAAACTAATCTCCACCGCCTTGTTATCCTGCAAAAGCGCATTATTAGAATTATTAATAAATCACATTTTAATGCTCATACTGACCCCATCTTTAAGGACCTCGGTATACTAAAATTTAATGATATCCATTTGCTTCAACTGGGTCAATTTATGTATTCTTGCAAAAATTCATTCTTACCTCCAAAGTTTAATAACAATTTCTCTCAAAGCAATCAATTCCACTCTTACAATACAAGAAATTCCCAGGCCTACCGTCTACCGTATTGTCGTACAAACACGAAGAAGTTCTCGCCCTTTTTTCAAGGGCCTAAGTTTTTTAATTCACTTGACAACAAGATCATCAACTCTCAATCCCTCTCCTCTTTTAAGAAAAAACTGAAGATTAAATTATTGAGTAAGTATGAAAACAGTTTATAAATCTTTCCATCTTCGACTTTTCGCTTTCTTCTCTTTAATTGATGTGAAACAGCTCTAGCTCATAGTTCGAGGAGGCCTAACCTCTCATAAGCTCCTATAGTTTCTGTTAGGTCTCCTCGCCACTTCTTTTTTTTTTTCTTCTTTTCCTATATTTTTTGTAATTAGTGTGGCAAATAAAATAAAATAAAAAACGTTGAACTAATCGAGGCCCCGGGACCGAGGCGTAGTAAAATTTGCTTCTGAATTTGTTCAAGGTGTACCCGTTTGTGAATCAATTTTATCCTTGGTTTAAATTTTATTTTCCTTTGTTTCAATTTCACTACCATACATAACCATATCAAAAAACAAAGGAAAATAAAATTGGAACCAAAGAAAAAATTGAACCACAACATACCCAATGTATAAAAGCATTCAATGCACTACGATATGGATTAAGCCAATTTGAGGGTTAGAAACAGCTCTAGGAATTTGATCCCACCCTATAAAGTGTAAAAAGAATCCTTCTGGTCTCCTACACAGTGCGAAAGATGTTCTTCTTTACCTTTCCAACAGATACCTCAGTGTTTGCCTGCATTAGCAACCTACCTTCAGAACCAGGCTTCACTGTTGCAGAGTGTCAAAAACGACCTTGATGCAACTAAGAAACAGCTACAACAGGCCATTGGTAAGTTTGAGCTTATGTTGCCTCCATATCCAGTACGTATCTCTCTGTTTCGCTTGTAGTTTATCGTACGGGTCTATCTCTGTTCTATGAAAGCACTAGAGTACTGGGCCAGTGCATTTACACCAGCATCAAATTTAAGTTTCTATTCTTAAAGTGTCTATTTTACATTAGCTACTGTCTTCTCGTCTTCTCCTGAGTCTATTTGTTTCTACATCCTCATCAAACGGGAAGCTCTCCCCCCTCCCTCATCAAGGCAGATATATACAATAGCTTGTGGTAGATGTAAAAACAAAGCAACCATCAGATTGGCTACATTTGCAAGAAGGACTGTCCAAGCGGCAAATCTTAACGTTTACCCAACAACACGATTTAGGCATTAGTATGCTATTGCAGATTGATGCTCGTGGGCGAAAAGTTCTTACCGTAAATGCAATGAACAAGCATTTATCCCCATATCCATGCCACAAAAACAGGGTTTAAGCATCGGCTTGGTGAACTCACCAATTTTTGACACATTTGTCATCCCTGATGAGGCACATGAGCATCCTCGTTCCCAGACCTGCTCGTCCCACTTATGCGGGCTGGGCCTGTGCACAAGGAACAAGTAGCTCTGGAAAAAGTCCAGTCACATAAGCCTTTCTAAACTACCTTGCAAGAAAAAGATTTTGAAATGGATGTGTTGCGATTGGACTCCCTTTGTAAGTTTCTACCCAATTAAATCTTAAGTGCCCAGAGCCACTTGTTCCTCGTGCGCAGCCCCAGCCGGCTAAGAGAGTTAAGCGGCTCTGGGGAAGCGAGTAGGCACATGGATTGCTCTTTTTTTAACAAACATATTTTCCTCATAGGTCAATGGCCTCCTGGTCATTATTGCATTCTGGCCAGTGGATCATGCCCACCCGGATTTTCCCGTTCCGAGGGACACATGCTTGCCTTGAAGATGTACTCTCACACCCCCGTTTACATCACTCCGGCCAAGTTCGGAAGCAGTCGGATCCAGTGTCACGGACCCTGTGGCCGGTACGGGCAGTGGGTCGGAGAACTGTACATCGCAGCATGTTGCAAGTGATGGAGAATCACAACTTTTCTTTCATACCACAGTCAGCCCAACGTACATAGCATTGTTACACGAATGATACTAGGAAACTAGGGCAACCTATATGCCAAATATTAACTTACAAAACTTGCTATGTATGGTATTAGTGATGCTCTAATAAAGTGCTTGAAAAAAATAACCTTGTTTAAAGCCTGTTAAATAAACTCGCAGAACCCCATAAATAGGAAAATTTTTGTCACCCGGAAGAAAGGCAGTTAACACAATTAAACTATTTTCCGTTATAGATCTAGACGAAGTGAATTTAATTTTGTGATTAGAATTAATTTTTTAAGGCTTATGCTTATCTTATTAGAAATTGCTCGCGCAATAGTAATGAACAAAACATGGAAACAAAACTCGGCAGGTTAAGGTGGTGGCAAATAGGTAGCTATGAAATGAGCAAGTAAATGAAAAAAGTCTCTTATCAGTGAAACTGCCTGGTGGCGTTGTACCAAAATAGATAAAAGGCTGCATTTTAAGTGACAAAGTGCCATTTTTTCTGAACTTGAGTCGGTATTAGGCTTTATGTATGCAACGGGAATAATTTTAATTTTACCAAGTAGGGCGACATTTAGGCTAGCATATGAGCAAGAAGTTTAATCTATATACCTGGTGTGTTTTTTTTTTTAACCAAAAAAAGATGAGGCTCTACATTTCACTGTTTCAAAGAGACGAGAAAAGGGCCATTTTTCTCCTTCAGCTGGAGTCAGAATTAGGCTTTATGTATGCATTGGCAATGATGACTGAAAACAGAATTTTGGGATAAAATTTCTAAAATTAATGTTTCCTGACTTCTTACTGGTTCATTGTCCCATTTTAATTTACCTTTGGTAATTTTTTTCTGTATTTTAGTGGCCTCCCTTTCCGGGAAATGGGGGCGAAGTGGAGCTTGGCTCATTAACGGGGTACCTTTGGCAGGAATTATTCGTGTTTAAAAATGTTTTATTGTGTTTAAAAGGGACGTCTGAAAAAATAAGGGCGTTCTTTAATTAATGTACAAGAACACCACAACAAAAATGAAGTTTTATGACAAGTCACTGCACATAATGTATCGTCCGAAACAAATTTTCCGATCAGAGAGAGCCTATAACCAGAAGAAGCTATTCTATTAGTGTTTCTACTCCGGAAGGAGAGCGGGCGCGCAGGTTGGGGGTGAGGGGAGGGGGCAGTTGTCCTTATTATACAAAGGACGTTCGCATCGCAGAAGATTTGCTATTTATGTGACAACCATTAGCGTCCTTCGCCCACTCCCCTAAAAAAATAGTTTTTTGATAAGGGAGGGGGAGGATAGGCTCGATTACCAGCCTCTGTTCGGGAAGATGTGCCCGCGTTACTTTTTAATATCTTCTCACTTGAGGGAACGAGCGCCTGAGCTTGCACCGGAGAATGTAACAGCTAGCATTGTTGTGGAATGTGATGATGATGCGACTACTTTTGAAGCTGATCCCCTAACTGATGGGAATATACTAGCAGAGTTTAACTACTCAGCAGATGCAAATGAAGGGGAAGAAGAAGAAATGGACAAGGATGAGATTGTGATTGTAGAGGAGCCGCCAAAACCACCAACACAGTGTGAATTGCGCCATGCAATCAGCGTGATTAACACATTCAGCTTTTTTGCTGATGATGTGCACCTTGATAATCTGCGCAAAAGTACCAGGAACATTTCTCAAATCATAGACCAGAGTTTCTCGGTTGCAAAGAAGCAACTAGTTATTACAAATTATTTCAGCTAAATTGAGTGAGCCCTATATACAGACTCTACACCACATGTGTTCTGTTATGTTCCGTTTTTGTTTTTTCAAGTACGTTTTGTTTGTAAATAAAGGTCAAGATCTACATTTAACAAAGGATGCATTTTTGTTAAAATTTGAACACTTACTCATAATCAAACAACACCCGGCCAATTCAGCGTAATTTGATGCCACCTTCGATTTCTCGAACTCCCGATTTCTCGAACCAATTTGCGTTTCCCGTGGAGGCTTGAGAAATCGGGATTCCACTGTACAATAAAAAGAGCATTATTACAAACTTGTTGGCTCGAAGATATGAATTTTATGTTCTTCTGGCAAAACAGTATCTCACTAGTGAGTGAAGCTCACTCATGAGATACTGTGAGATATCTGAGATATTGTGTTTGCCACTCAAACATAAAATTAATATCTTCTCACCATCGTGTAATATCCTCTAAATACAGATATTGTGCATGCTGTGATTGGCTGTTGCTTGTGATCTATTAGATGGCAGATGAGCAGATGACCTCACTGTGTGGTGTGACTTGTACACATGATCCAGACAAAATTCATAGTAACCAGCCTTCCTGGCAAAGAATTTCAAAACTCCAGATCAAAACAAGCAAAAATATTTAGCTTTAGTAGAAGTCTTCAATGAAAAACACATTGCCGGATTTCTAGGCAGTTAATTCCGCTAAACATGCCAGTTGTTTGCCTGGAAAACCTGTTGAAAGCTGCTTGAAAATTGTGTTTTCAAAAACTTTGCAGACACTTTGGAAAATCCATGAATGGCAGTGGTTGAACAATTTGCTTGTAGCTTACTAAGCTTGATTACTCTCCAAGTATTAAAATAAAGGTTAGTTTTTCCATGGAAGTTTTAATTTTGAATCATTATGTTTCCTCATCAGTTTTGCAGTTAGTTTTTGTAATTGTGGAAAACTTTATCATGAAATGAAGTTGGGATGAGGTGCATTTAGCTACATGTACTTAGACCTGATGGCAACCTTGCTTTTGAACTAAATTTTTCTGTTATTGCATAAAACAAATACATTCAATTTTGCCATCCGCCTGTTTAGTAATAGATCTCACAAGATATCAAAATGTGGCAAGAACATCAGACACAAATGGCTTCGCCTTGTGTGCCACTTTTGTTCTTACCACATTTTTGCGTCATCTGTGATCTATTACTGAACAGATGGACAACAAAATGGAAGCTATTTGAAGTAAAAAACAACTTAGCCTCATTTGTAATGCCTTTAAAGGGACTGGTTCACGATAATGCGCATGCGCGCCGTTTGTCTCTTCAGAATAAATTTGTTGGGTCAACACTAAATTCGAAATCGCCATTACCGGTACAATCATTGAAAATCCTTCGTTTTATTCGGACATCCGTCGCTTTGGCTGGTCTAGTTATACTTCGGTGGTGGTGATTAACGTGTGGTTGTGTCGTTTGACTGGTTACGTTTTAAGAAGACGCAAAAAATAATGTTTTGATCATGGAGGTTGAGAAGAGCATCGTGGCCGTCCGGCAACAGGACGTTCTCAAGAGTCTCTGGAGATAGAGAAGCTTAGCCTATCGATCTGGTATGGTTCTAGGAGTAGTGTGTGGCATACGAAAAGAATATACGACACTTGGAAAGTGGTTAAAGGCATGAGTTCGTTCAACTTTGATTTGATTTTTGACTCCGACCTGTAGTTATACCGCAACAGGCCGCGCGATCTTCACCGATCTGGTACACTTGAAATGTTCCTTGTACCTTTGCTTTACGATCGTATATGTTTAAGAATTGATGTTTTTAAAATAAATTGTTGCCTGAATATTCTGTTCATAATCTAGTTTCTTTATGTGTGCTACTCGATAACATTTGTTTTGCGGAACACTGACCCGATGCAACGCGAATGAATTTGTTCATTTGCTGATAAGCAATTGAAATTTATGCTCAATTAAGGACAATCTTTATACTCATACGTTGTGTGTTTTTGTCACCGGTCCGGCGCTATTTGTAGGTATTTCTGGGTTTATATAAGGCGAACTGAGAGAACAGTAATAAGATGTTTGTTTACAAATTTTGTTTGCCGATCGGTGACTGTTTTGTTAGCGTGGGTACGACCTCGTAAAAATACACGTTGGTAAATGTTTGTTTCAAAGCAGGACAGGGCTGTAAATCTTATTCTTATCGGCTGTAACATATATCTGAGGAGTAGCAAAGAGTAAAATTGAATTATGGGGATAAATAAAATCAAACCAAATGCCCGGAAATACTCTCGCGTCGCGAACAATTAATTTGAATTTTGTAAATTTACTTGCGTGCATCTAACTCGCTTCCGATTGGTTGAAAAACAATCAGCTACTGTCAGAACTCACACATGCGCATTATCGTGAACCAGTCCCTTTAAGACAAAAGAGTGGTGTTTTCCTTTTGGAATATTTTCCTCCGTTCCAGAGATATGAAAGTTAGATATGCAAATTAGATATAAATGATGATGTCATCAGTGGTTCTAGTATGAAGTCAAAACAGAAAACCGATATTTCTGCAAATAATAGAGGAATGCAACTAAAACTCCGCACCATAATTCTAACTTAGGAAAGACACCTAATGATGCACCCTGTGGTGTTACCATGGCAACAACCTTGCCCCCAGGTTTCTTTCATAATTTTGGATAACAATCTCTGTTTTTCACCTTTACCAAACAGCATCCACTTTGTAAAGTTTAACAGAAAAATTTTCACTTGATTGTCAAAAGTAATTTGCATTTACTTTGGTTTAGGATTACTTCGCTTAGTGATTGGTTTAAAATTTCGCGCCACTTTCTCAACCAATCAGAAACCCAAAACCTTTCTGTAATTGCTTCAGGTTTTGATTGGATAATGGATTGCTCTGCATCCTTTGTAATTGGCCAAAGTTATTACTTTAGTTTTGGTTTTACGACATTCAATTAAAAACTGCTCAAAGGAGACCTAGTGCAATGTAGACTTAGGGACGGTTCATTATTTATGGGGTTGACCGGGTCGGATAATTTGAAATAACTTTTCGTATTTTTTTCTAATGCCCGTCACACTATCTTGTCGGAATTTCTAAGCCCGTCCTGATTTGTTAAAAATTTTTCAAAGCCCGGTCAATGTATTCAATATTTAATTTGACAAAGAATTATGACACGGTAACAGTATAAAAGTCGTTTTATGTATTACAACATGACTCGTTTAAGAACAAACGGTTTGCGACAATTTGCGTACATCGCCACAGTACATTTAGTTTCGGTGGGAAACAGCTATTAAAAAGTGCAAAATGCCACCAAAGAGATTAGTACTAACCAGAAGGTCC